AAAAAAATCCCTCTCCCTGAGAGCTGAAGGCTCTGCTTCCTTGGCTGTTATCAGAGCTTGTAAAGGGGTAAAGATAGTTTACCTATAACTCAGGATTTCCCACAAATATGAATTTACAGACACACTCCTCCTCTCTGCGCTTACTCTTTTTAAGGAGAGAAAAATCTGTTACGCCCCCAGAGTCTCAGTTTAGCAGGAGCTTGAGCAGTGTTATAATAACTTTGGGAGCCCTCCATGCCGAGGAGTCTAAGTCATTTTTATCTATCTTTTTTGAAGACGTCAAAAAACGCTGTCATGTAGTTTTATTCCCTGCCTTCTCATTTTCTTCCTTGACAGAATTCCAGTCTCTGGTGAAGGCATAAACAGCATTAGACCAAAGGCAACCTCGGACTGACTCTCCCAATTACCTCGTCCAACAAGCACTTCGCACCCAGCATGTGTTTGTACTTTTTTCTATTGTTTCAGGCGTTAACGCTTCCCCACACACGGAATTCACACACCCCGATCACTGAGAAAGAAACCTCGCAGTGTTTTGGTCACATGGTATCGCTCCATTTCCATTGCAAAGAAGGCACTTCGTGATTTTCAGCCGCTGATAATGTTGAAATTGCGGCTGGAAGAGGGGAGTTAAAAAAAAAATTTAAAAAAAACCCAACCAGACAAAAAGAACCTCGGGGAGGGGGGGTGAAAGCTGCTTTTTAAAATTTTGTTAGGTTCTCCATCCTCATACTTGAGCATGCTGACTCGCCAGATGCAGTTTGGATCATCTGAAACAATGTGATATCTTCAAAGGCTTAATTGTACTGGTTTCATTGAGGTTTATTTCTGCTTAATTCTCTGATCCTTGAGGAAAAGCACTGCTAACAAGATGGCTAAAAATAACTCAGTCCCAACCCTGAGAATATGAGAAAAAAATTTAAGAAGAGTTGACACGCAGCTCACAGCAGAGAATAAGGTTGTGGGTAATTTTACAAAATAAAGTACTAGGTTACAGCACGTATCATCCCAAAGTGTTTATGGCCTAAAATGTAACTCTCCCTTAAGAAGATTTATCTCTCCTGAAATCTAAGGCAGCTGTGAGATAGAGGAGAAGGGTCTAATCCCACTCTGACACTGTCACAAGTCACAGTCCCCTGACAACCTGGGCCACAGGCCTGCAGGGTTTTCCATGAATCACCACCATGTTGCTTATTGTCTCTCAACATGCACAAAACAAGAACCCTTTGGCACATCCGTGAATTTCTGTGTTTCCTACAGATGAAACAACAGCCAGTCTTGCTGCTTGATTACCTTAAAGCCATGTATCATTGCTAAATAATGGCTATTACTCAACTCTTTCATTAATTATACGAATAATCATCTATATATTCCATAATATGAGCAACTTCCCTCAGTCTGAAAGCTGCCAAGTATTGGCCTTCCCTTCGACAAGTGTCTCCCAGGATTTAGAGCTGGTTACAGCACTGTCATCATTAATGTGCCAAATAAATGAGGTCTGTGGTTAAATGCAGAGCTCAGCAGAGTGAGTGGATGTTGGGCATTTCTGATTGAGTGTGTTGGAAATTTTCCCCCCACCGTTTCTGGGTCTCCTTCCCCATCTCCCCTGGTGTGGTTCCAGCTCCCAGGCTGTCATTCCAACACTCCCCACTGAAGCTGAACCATAATTATAATTTGGCAGCTGTTTTGAAGAAGAGCAGAAACAAAGCCTTCTGGAACTTTTATGTAACATCCAGTGTTGGCATTTCCATGAATTGCAAGATGATTGTGTGAGGCGAGTACAGCTCCCTCGTACCCAGGCATGCAGGAGAGAGCTGGTCAACAGATTTAAGATGCCTCATGCAAAAGAGGAACTCCAGCAATCAGACTCACTGAAGCCTTGGCAGAATTATAATGAACATAAATCCTAACTCTATCCCCACTGCCTTTGATGTTAAATCTGGGCTTAAATTATAGCTGCTGTTAATTGCAGCACTGAAATATTTTGCATAATGATGAGACTCTGTTGGTTCCTTTCACCTTATTCATTTCCCTGCTGAGGAAAAAAACCCCAAGCAATGCAGCTCTGCAGCCACATCCAGATGTCAGACACACCCTGGCTCCTCACACAGCTCATCTCCAGACTGTCCTGTCACTGGCTCACAAGCAGGAGATGAGGTACTCCCGATAGTTAGGCACTCCTGTGGATGCTGCAACTTCACTGTGCTTACAGAAAATCCGCTCTTCTGAAACACTAACCTGTGGCAAGGAGACGTGTTTTAAATCCTATTAAAACCATCCAGCCATTTCATTAGAAGAAATCACAATAAAACTCAAAAAACTCCCCAGTTTCTAAAAAAAAGCCCATAGAGTGTTCAGCAAAAACACCACCTGCTCTCTGGAAAGGATTCTGTTGGCACCAGGATCCATGTTTTAACCAAGATAAAAGAGAGTATTTTTCAACTACAGGAAACAAATTCAAAAAAACTTTAAGTTTTCTGGGAAGGTTCATTTCAATTAGTTTAAATTCAGCCAGTGACAGCTTCAGTTTTCCTAGGGAAGAGCACGGGGTGTTCTCTGAACTCATTGTGCTCAAGAAACACTTCTCTTGCAGGATGTCTATGTGAATGTCATCTGAAGGAGCAAAGAGACACGTGGTGGTGTCACAAGGTACAGAATCAGAGAGTAACTCCTGCTGGAAAGGTTCTCTGGAGGTCTCTGGTCCCAGGCCACCATAGGGCAGATTGCTCCAGCTGAGTTGGGGTATCTCCAAGGATGGAGGTTCCATAACCCTTCTGGGCAATCTGATAAGTGAGGATTAAACTCTCTGCATCAAGCTTTTTGAAAGACTTAGACAAATAAAACACTGCTGAGTACAGAGTCAAATACCAAAATTCTGTTAGAAATTGTTTATTCTACATCAACTCAGAAAGGATCCAACAAGCCCCTGCTTTTTCACACTGATTTTCACACCTGTTCTCAGGTTTAGAGCAAGACCATTCTACTCAGTATAATACTGGGTATAATACTGCTTTTAAAGTGCTTTAGCCACTGAATCCATCATCTCTCCTAAACCAAAACCTTGGGTTGTCTTGAAGAAGGAGCAGAACCTTGAATAGAATAAAACCTCCTGGTATTCAGTGAAAGCTGCTGCCTCTTAACTTCGTGTTCCTTTGGAAGCCCCAACCTAGAGCCACTTGTAAACTTCAGATTCAGTTTCAGCTCTCCAACTGTTCAAAATCTCTCAGTCATCTTCTAACAAGTACGAGAGCACAGAAAGGGCAAGGGGATGTCAGAACATTCATTGCACACATAGACTGGTAAAGTTTCTTCTCCGAGTTAGCAGCCAGCCCATGTGGAAAATCTTTGATGCAGCATCATCAGAGGCGCCTGGAGCTCTTCTCACAAACAGTGTGGGCAGAGGGGGCCAAGGCTGGATTAATTTCCTGGAATTGGTTACTGAAATAGATACATCTTGATTAAATCCCTGAACAAGACACGTACCTAGCATTTTCGTGGTTAATTTTTCGTGTATTTTAGAACATTTTAATAAGTGGATAGCGAGGAATGTGAACCGAAGTGCTCACATTTTAGGACGCTTAATTTCCATGTTACTTTTTGCTTGCAAGCACAGAAGGCTCCCATTCCATTGGTATGGACTGTCTGGTACTCTCACTGCACTGCAGGCCTGCAGAGCACACCAGCAGCTGGGACAGGGCTGCTCCGTAACTTTGGGTTTGATTGTCAGGAAGTCCTACACTCATGAAAACAAGAAAATCAGAGGGTTTGTATAAGAAACTGCAGAAAAGAAAATCAGATCAGCACATCGGTTACAATGTGAAAAGAAGGTAACCTGAGACAATGCCTTGCCCTGCAGGCACAAAGGTATTTCTGACCCTCAGTTCAAAGGGGAACTTCTGGCCGAGTAGAACATGGGAATGCTTGACTCAGGGAATCCCACCAGTGCCATCACAACTAGACATTAATCAGCTGTATTTCCTGGATACCAACTCTCTGCTCTAACTCCCAGGCCTGATTTTATATGTGCAGTGATCTCCACAACAGACACTAATATTTAGCCAGCATAAAAATAAACACAGTAAAACCTGTTTCTGTTAAACAGACAAACTAACCAGTTCTTAATCTTCATGAAAAGAAAGTCCTCTGGAGTTATTTCAGAGTTTTCAGTTTAGCCTTTTATACTCCTGTCTTTCAAGTGATTTGGTAGATTAGACTTTCTGGTTTAAATATCTGCTCCTTCCCCTTCACCTCCTCGCTGATGAACACCCTGTTACACTTGTCACCCTGTTCTCATTCTGTCCCGGAGAGATGGCACTCCTGGACTTGTCTGTCTTTGGTGCCACCTACGGGCAATTGCTGGTTTGCCACAGAAATACTCCAAAACTTTATCCATAAAGGCTTTACAATCTCAGTGTGGGCTTCTCACAAGGATTACTTCCTGAATGTTTCCTAATTCCGACGCAATTATCAGATCCTCTCTGATACCAGGCCATACTCTCAATTATTCCAGAGTACTCTGAAATAAAGGCAAAGCTAAATTCCCAGATATGTCAGATACATCTGTTACAAATGTACCAATACTAGTATTATTTGAAGACAATTAGGACAATTGCAGGACTAATCTTTCATGAGTAATTCCTGTCAGGATAAGATCCTTACAAGCCAAAGTGCACCATGAAGATGCCCATTTGTTGTTGTCATCAAGCAATTCTAAAAATATATATATTTTTTTCATTCACCCATCAAAAATAATTCACTTCAGTAAAATAGGTGCAAGCTGAGAGGATTTACTTTGTATGGCACCAAACCTTCTATATTGTCTAAAACACCACGTGCATTCCTTTGGGATATAAATATCAAACTGATTAGCTAGCACGTCTTGTCAGCCACAGTAACTTATCCCCTGGGGTATCTGAGCCATCACGTGGCTCTGGGACTTCTGTAAAAGGTCAAGAGGACTTAACTAAAATCTATATAAGTCGTTATCTCTGTCATTTGAATAAGAATTAAGTCAAGAGGACTCTGCAGACCTTTTACCTTTACAAAATTTCCTTGGCTTGGGGGAAAACTTAAGAGGCAAGGTGAGTTCAATCTTTCCTCCTGGAGCTTTAGAAGACACCACAATAATTCACAGAAAGAATGCATGGAAATAACCTGAGATCCCCCAAGGCTGGGCAGTTCTATAAATACATCTGAGTTTGTCCCCAGCTCAGGCACCTGAAGACTCAACTGGAAATAACAGTGAGTCAGATGCAGGACATGGATGTGAACTAAAGGATGGAGCAGTTGGCTCCTGCAGGGCAGATCCCCCTGTCTGTCCCCCCCGGGCACCACGGGCTGGGGGAGCAAGAGCAGTGGGAGCTCCCCCTGACAGTGCTTTTCAATTTTCAGCAGCTTTGCCATGGCTCTTTCTGGTATCCTGACAGAAGCTGAAATTGCTGCTGGCCTACAGAGCTGTCAAGGTAATGTTTGTGGTTTAAATTTGGCTTTTCAGTTTGTCTGTCGAGTTCCTTTGTCCTCGTCACCCCAAGGTCCCAACTCCAATAGAAACGGAAAAGGTTGTTTCAAGAAGAGATAAAGGAGGCAAAACAATGGGAGAGGCAAGTTTTAGTCTTTGCCAGCCAAGGTACAGGAACCCATCAGCACTTGTGCATTGCATCAATATTAAGTATGAAAAAAAACAATGGCTGAAGTCCTGAAGCAGAAATTCTGTTTTTTTCAGAGAATAATAACAAAACTACTGCTGGTTTCCATACAAGTACAATATTTGCCATCAAGTTCTGTGAATTTATGTTTGAGGGAAGTATCTGTTTACAAATGTATGTTCTTGCATGATAAAGACTACAGCCATTATTTATATTCCTAGGTTTGAGACATCACTGATGGAAAATCCCATTAATCTGATGTAAACTCAGGAAAATCAAAGATTGTTACTTGGGGCTTGTAATGACTCTCACTGTACTGCAGAATAGTTTGCTGCTTTTTGACTAAAAAGCTAATTTTTTTCAGTTCCAGATCTTTAACTACTTTTCTCTATCCCTTCCTGCTTATTTCAGCTGCTGATTCCTTTGATTACAAAACCTTTTTTGTCAAAGTGGGGCTCAACTCCAAGTCCAAAGATGAACTGGCCAAAGTCTTTAGCATTCTTGACCAGGACAGGAGTGGCTTTATCGAGGAAGAGGAACTGAAGTAAGTAAATTTTAAAAAAATGAGTTACCAACGAGATTGTGTTTTGTCACCTAAAAACAAGACCAGAAATACTCCCTTTCCTTCTGTCTGTCTGGATGAGACAATGGGGTTTGTGTTCACATGTGTGAGTGCCTGTGCAAGTCAAATAACAAAGGCAAGGCTGGATCACAACGAGAAAACTCTCTGACAGCACCGAAAAAACTTGTTTCATGTAGTGATAACTGACAGACTGTGAAGATAAAAATAGTTCTGCTACAGCTGCTCCTTATTATTGCAAGATTCTTTACTAGACTGAATTCAAAGGGCTATCTTTCCTCTCATCTTTCTTTCTGTCACATGAATTCTACCTTGCAGATCACAGTCATCGGACTTTGAAGTTAAAAGTAAGGTTAGGGGAATTCTTGTCACTCTCAGGGATGTGCATCTTAGGAAAAAGGAGGAAGGTAAAGAGGAAGGGAGATGACTCCTGCCACTACAGAGCCAGGGTTAATTTTGCCTTTTCAATCCAGTGAAACCAAGATGCCATCAAGCGTTTTTACATGTGGTGATGCAGCATCCTCTTACTTTCTTACCCTTGACCCTCACTGAAGTTAGAGGAGGTTTTGCCACTGAAACAGCCTCCAGGATTGAATGAGGCTTGACATTTTACAGCTCTGACTGATATCAAACTCTGTCAGTGCTGAGTCTGTCTCAGTCATTTGTGCTCTCTCCTTTAACAGACTTTTCCTGAAGAATTTCTCTGCCAATGCCAGATCTCTGACTGATGCTGAGACCAAGGCATTCCTGGCAGCAGGGGATAGTGATGGAGACGGCAAAATTGGAGTGGATGGTAAGTAAAAGGAACAATACCTGCCTTGGAGAATTCCTAATGGCAGCTCCAGGCAGCTCCCTGCTCCATGCACTGCAGGTCATGGATCTGAGGTGCTCAGATCTGCTCTGGATTGTAGAGAGCATCTAACACAGGAACTGCTCCTGCCCTGGCTACAGGTGCTCAGTCCCTTCTGTCATCTGTGGAGATTCTTTCAAGACTGGAACCCAAGATCAACCCATAATTTCAGTGTTTTTTACTCCTGAACTATGGTGCAATGTGACCCTTAAATGCAACACTCCCTTTGCCTTAAGTATCTCGTACTATACCTTTAAGGAATGATTATCAGAAAAAAAATATCATTAGTTTCCCATTTTAACTTTAAAAATTAAGAAAGTAAATTTTAAAGTGTGTGACTGCAAAATGTGGTTCTATTTTGTTATTCTCTTACGTATTTTTCAGAGTTTCAGGCTCTGGTGAAATCTTAACAAGCAGTCAAGATGAAGACCAAGATATCTGTGCCACAAACAATCTTTCCTATTGCAAGTCTACTATTTATTTACACATGTTGTACCCTGGAAGGTCATGAAAGACTGTTGGCAAGTGATTTCAGATGGTTGGAAAACATCTAAAGTGGTGCAAGCACTACTTAAACCACGTTTTAAGCAGAAGGTCTATACCAATGGGAGACTGAACTGGAATCCACTCTGCTCATCTGCATTTTGGGCATTAAAGATACAAATAAAAATTGTAAGAGGAAAAAATTCGAAGCATCTCTGTGGGCCATTGAATTTTCAATATTAGCACATGTTGGAAAAAATGAGAATTGATAAAATGTCCAGGTGTAAAGCCTGGTTGTGGTGACTGGTAATGAGGGGTATTTAATCAAGAGGTGTATTTAATGATCCATATGTTTTTACGTCACTCTTTACACCTGATTATGTTTCAGAGACTGATTATATGGCAGGACCTAGCACCAATTAAACCACCAGTTTAATTTCAGCTGGATCCAGGATGAATCTAGATTACTGAACTAGCAATACATTCCAAACTCTCCGGGAATTCCTCACCTTGGTGCCCACCCGATGACACTGTTGTTCCACTGCCGAGAGGTTAAACCGGAATTCCAGCTGCTTGAATGAATTCCAGGCAGAGCAATTCTTGATGGCTTTAACCATTCCAAACGTTATTCATCCAATGAGATAGTTGCTCCCACGTGCTCCTTTAAAATTTGGAACTCTTGGCAATGCTGTTCTTGGACACTACTTTCGCAAAAAGTGGTAGACAGCTGTCTCACACTTTTTTTTTTGGAGCTACTTAAGAGGATGTTTCAGTATTTGCAGATGAAAAACCTTAATTTCAAAATTATCTGCTGATGCATAACACATTTATGATGAGAAATTATGGAGAAGGAAGGAAATATCAATACAATATTGGGGAAATCATCATATTACACAAAATTAAAGCCATTTACAATGGATGCTACTTCAGTGAATGCTCAATAAAATGTTAATGACTTATAAATTAGCCAACAATATATTTTCATTACCTCTAATGAATAAATCAGGTCCTAATATTGCAGAATTTCAATTTCCTTTAAGAGTGAAAAAAAATTATCTACCTGACAAATTGACACTCATTCTTTCAGTGTCACCCAGGTAAGCAATTAAAAAAGGAAATTTTGCACAATTAGTAAGTGCAGCCTGATTGCAGGGCTAAAAGCTCTCACTATGGCCAGAAAATGCTTTGTATCTCAGCTGATATTATGTTTTATATTTTCACCATGCAATATGGGTCACCAGGAGATTTTCAAGCATTGTACCAACATTAATGGCTAAATAAGAGAGGCCTAGACAGCTCAGATAACTTCAGAGATAGCAGGCAGCTCCTTTATTTAACCACACTTACTTCCACCCTGATTAGCCTGCTAGGCCTACAAATCTAAGACAATTTCACCACTTACCATTCCATTAAGAACAGTAAAAAATTAATGACAAGGTAAGTCTGGTATCAGCTTCACTGGTCACTCCAGAAAGTTAAGAAGAGCTTGTGACTACAGACACTTTTAGACCTTTCCTTCTTTCAGTAGTACCACTAAGCAGGTTGGGGGAGAAAATGCTGTTTTCTATGTATAAAAATACACTTACTTTCTTCTCCTTTGTGTCTCTCACTCACACAGGCTGTGAAATTTCTGTAACTATTTATTGGGTGTTTTAAGAAAGCTCTTCAAATTGTGCCTCAGCTGGAAAGACTGCTGCCTGATCATAAACATACATTGCCAAACAGTTCCCTTAAAACAAAGAACATTCCACTGGAATCACAAATTTGGAGGTCTGAGACCCTAAATATGTGGTTGCCTTTTGCCAATGGAATTTTGTCAGGGGTTTGATGTGTGTGTTTTAAGAGCTTGTCTGAATCTAGCCACCTGCTTCCCTTTATTTAGAGGGCCATTTCTGTTAAAGAAGTGATTTTTGATGATTATTTATGATAAGGTTAAATCTAATTACAGGGTAATTGTACTTTATGCCTCACTAAGGGTTGTACATCCTCCTACTGCTGAAGTGAATGGCAGGAATCCCAGTGACATCAGTGAGGGCAGGCAGTGAATACAGAAGTGGTTCAGTGTTATTTGCTTTATCCTGCAGTGACCTCACCCCCTGTGGGGCACAGTGAAATGCAGCCACCTGCAAAAGGCCTTTGGTAAGAGCAGAGCAGCACTGCACTCATCTTTTACATGTCACAACAGGCAGCATCCTGATTATCTCCCAGCCTTTAGGACATGGTTATTCTCAAAATACACAGAAAACCTGAACAATTTGGGTTCTTCGAGGCCACTCCACCTGATGCTGTCTGTAATGTTGGCAGCAGACAGAAACATCTCAGACAATTACACTGAGGATCACAGACAGAAAATAGTGTTGCTGAGTCACAGAAGAACTTCCAAGTGCATTTAAAGACAAACACCTGTCATATCAAATGCCAGCAGAGATCTTCCAGGACAGCTTTTTAAGGGAAGACCAGCCTCTGTGAATTAGTGATGCTGTTACTCCCTTATGGCAGCCTGTTCTGCTGCCAGGTTCAAACAGAAATCCATTCCATTCCCCCAGAATCCTGAGGACATCATCTGAGCTGGAAAAGCACACGTGACATTGCCCCTAATGGGAGAGGAGCACCTGCTCTGGGTTAGCTCCAGCCCAGAGTGCTGCAGGATCTGTGTTGGATCTCAGATTCTACAGCCCAGCTCTCTGCTCTGTGCTCAGGGGAACACCCTCTGCTTGCTGCAGGGACAGAAAGCTTTGTCACTGAGGCTTCTGGGGCCTGGCTTCCATCCTGCATCCCAGTAATGCACAGCCCCAAAAAACCACCCCCTACTCCATGTGCTCAAACTCCTCAGTTAAATGCGGTGAAATAATACTGTCCAAGAAACAACTCAAATCAGACCCTGCAGTTATTTCTATACAATTAAAGCCTATGCCTTAAGAGACCACTGAAAGTGGCAGGATGTATCTCATTTTGGTTTAATGTTTGGAGCTGTCAGCACAGCAGGGTTCTCTGCCATCACCACTGAGACATCAACACTACTGAGCAACCCCACAGGTTACTGGGTCCTTATTTCAGTTACTTCCAAAGTCATCACAGAGGCAGAATCTGTTAGCCAGGATCATGATACCACTGGCCCTGACACAGGCAGGGCTGAAAGATGGAGTTGTGTGGGTTTTAGAACAGCTGCTACAGCATCTCTTTACACTCTTGTAGCTGGTCTCAGGTTAACACCTCTCCTCTGATCTCACCTGAGACAACTGCTGATGGTTCTTTTGCAGCTGCTTGAAGTCATGGCTCTGGTTGATTGCCACTGCTAATTAACTGTGTCCCTGATGCCAAACAGAACACAAAGGGGACGAGACTCATCCACAACCTGTCAATGATTCACCAAAACACAACTTTCCTCTGATTCTTACAGATGTAAATAGTACTTGATTTGAAGACAATAGTTTCATACGTTTAGATTCCTGGAAAGAACTTATCAACATGAATTTTGGGTGTTTCTCAGAACCAGACCTCCAAGTTTAATTCTGGAAGTCTGAAAACAAACAAACAAGTAATGGCTTTAATACTATTTAATAAAGACACCTCAGGTGAAAACAGTAGATATACAAGTATATAAATATTCAGATGAACAACTCAATAGAGCTTTCAGATGTCCCTTGTAGAGCAAAAAAACCCAAAACAAATAAACAAACTCAGAGAAAAATTATTAGTTTTTCTTGAATTTCATAGGAACAAGTGTTAAACATTCCTGGAAAATGTGCAATGCTCAGATCCTGTGCCAGATATTGCACTTTTGTTAACTGCCTGTTACCTAGCAGCATTAGGGAATTTATTACTAGGGATTTTCTTTATAGCATTCCATTATTTGCATAGCATATTTTAAAAACTCACTTTTATCAATCTCACTTTTTGAATGCATAAAATAATTGCAATCACCCAGGTTAACACACACTCCAGAGGTAAGGAAAGCAGAGAATTTAGCTGTAAAATAAATTATCTCATTAAAACATCCCTTAATATCCTAATCCCTGATTATTGCATTCTAATTGTAGTGGAGGGAACCCTGTACTTCAGATGAAGTGTCATTAATAAATAAATAAAACCCGGTAACCCTAGATTCCCACCTGTATCAATATACAGTGACATCAACTTGATTCTGAAATTCAGCTCTTTTAGGCTTTTGTAAACCATCTTTCAGCCAGGATGAGCATCACTTTTGTTGTCAGTGTTGAATTTCAAACATTCAAAGATCCCTCCGTAAGCAAGAACAGCAATCGTCTCACTTTAGGTTGAGATCATATTTTGACATAACCCCAATTCTGGCCACTTTACTCCTGCTGGATGCAGGAACAACTCAGCCCCCGGTGTGCCAGGGCAGTGGATGAGGTAACCACACATCATTCTCTGAACATCTGTGCTTGTATTTTAATGCAATGCCTGAATTAATTGCAGGCGTATTTTGAGCTTGAATATTGCTGTGCTCACCTCGATCTTGTAATTTTTCTCTACTTCATTTCAATTTCTTGAAATTTTCTCTAGAAACATCTTGGCAGTAGAAATGACAAGAGGAATCGGTAAAAGAACCACTCTGTTCAAACTCATGTCAGCTTGGGATGATCAGAAAAGAGAAAACTCACACGGGGTGGAAAAAGGTACCTGCGAGGATGAAAGTTGTTTTCAGGATGATTCTGGAGAAAGATCCATCACTGCCACCGCCTGCTAGACCATAATATCATGGAAATCTCAGCCAGGAAGCAACACGAGTATATAGTACTGAATGAAGGAGATAAATGGAAAGAACACCAAAAGGTGTGAGATCAGATCTTCAGTTTTTACAAATCAGCATCGTTTAATTTGTTTATATTTGTTAATACTAAAGTTAATACTAAATTTGTTTATATTTGTTAATACTAAAGCACAACAGCCCATGGCCCTTGGGTTTAACAGGAAAGGGTTTTCCAATTTACTATGGACAGTTTTCCTACTGGGAGCAAAAAAAGGGAGAGTTGTTTCCTTACCAGATGCTGGTGTTTGGGACCAAAGGCAAGGCTGATTATTTGTGGTTTAAGCCACTTTCTCTTGTTTGCAACAGATGTTGCAAAAAGGGTAAAAGTATCATGACATTATGTCTGCTTTTTGTGCTCCTGTCACCTGGTATTGCTATGTCCAAACTCAAGCAGAGCTGTGGAACAGTTGCTGTGGCTGACACTTCTCTCCCTGTCATTAAACCAAGCAGGAGTAAACTCACTGCAGCCCATTCATTTACACCAAGGTTTAAATTTATTACTGCTTTACTCCACAGTGTAATTTGTAACTGTTGGTACTATAAAAAATAGTATCTGTTTGGTAGATCATGCTATTTCCACCCATGAAAAATAAAGCAATGCTCATCTAGTAAGAGAATATTACTTTAGATACCATGATAGGCTGCTACACAATAAAGTCTAACCAATGAGTTTTATTGGCCTGTGTCCTAGAATTTTGTCCATATAAACCTGCTTAAAGCTGGAAATAGATTTTTGTCTGACAAGGAAAACCTTACATCTGCTGTTATGAATTTTCTTACTTTTTTTGTCCCAAAATTAATGCTCTTGAAATATATAACAAACCACCACTTATTTATACCTCCAATTTAAATGTCACATTAAGGAAACAGATTGTGAGAGTGTGTGTTAGATGTATATAAATTCATTTCCAGACTAGCAAAGTCTGATTCCTACAACTCACCACAACTATTGTTTATAGTAATAGTCTGTTATTAATTTAATGTAATTTAAAATACTCAAAATAGATCATTACATAGGCCACCTGATTACACATAATCTTCCAAGGAATGCTGACAGCAAGGTGAACTTATTCAGCTGTACCTAGTTCATAGTTCTGTGTCACTGAAGGCTTTGGTTTCTGTTCCTGTAATTTAGAACATGGTCAGGAAGTATGAAATGAATCTCACTGGAGAGAGATCACCCAAAGTAGGGCTTGCTTTCCTCTCTCTTGGTGACAAGTCATCTTTGTCAGAATGACACATTGCCACCTCTGATCTTTCATCTCCCACCTCCCTTCCACGTTCCAAAGGATCAACAGACTTAGGGAAAACAAACTCATTTATTTTCATAAGGATTTGACAGCTGGAGTCTCTTCTGAGGAGGGACTTGCAGGTGCAGAGGTTACCTGTTAACATACCTGGAGAAGGAGAGGCTGTTTCAATGGCAGAGCTGTACTTAAATAAACAAGAGTGGATTTATTGAAATAAAAAGTTCTTCTTGTCAATATTATCTCGGGATATAAATAGAAAGAAAAGTTTAATTAGTTAAGGAAGAAATTTGAGCCAGGTCTCAGTTCAAACACCTGATCCATGAAAGTGTAACCTAAGCAGTGGTTATTGTCACTTTTTGAATCCTTTATAAGACAGAGTAGCAAGTAGAGCCAACATTACTATTTTGCCTGGTGTCTCCTCAGCTATTTTTCCTTTACTTAGCTGAGAAAACTCTAAAGGTGAGCAGCTGACTTGAGAATAATTAAATTAATTTACTGTGCAGAGTTGCACCAGCAGTAAGTACAATAATTATTGTTCTAAGATTTTTCTTTTAATTGCTGGAATTACATATGGATGGACCTTATATAGATAAGTATCAGTTTTCTTTTTATTCTTCAGAGCTGTTGGGGGAGACAATAGAAGTAAACTTTCTTGCCTTTCCTTTTCCCACTGCATCTACTGTTATTTGTGTTGCCTGGGGCTATGCATTCCAGTAAGACTAATTATTAAATTAATGGTCACACTGAGCTTAAAAATGTGTTGTACTTAAATAGGCTGAAGGTAAATGACAAAAAAATTGATCATCAACTCACAACCTGATTTCTGTAAAGCACTATTAAAGAGTACTATTTCAGCACTGCTGTTTTGAAGGAAGTAGTGTACTAAATCTTGCCATTTGTTAGGAATAGCAGAGGGGCTGGTTTGATCAATTAGATTGATTTACTGATAGAAGTCTTGTTATCCTTATAGTGTTCTTCAAAACACAAGATGCATTTGCACTTAGCTCTGTTTGCAATCCACTCTTTTGCACAGGTTTAAAATGAGCCTCACAGACATCCTAAGCCCTTCTGATATTGCTGCTGCTCTGAGGGACTGCCAAGGTGAGCAAACAATTCAAACTCTGCGAATCGACAGTTTTGGGTAACACAGGGCAAGCTGGACTCAGGCCTGAAGGAATACTGAGCAAGTGCATATTTTAAACTGATTTCTGTAATCTCTTTACTCAGCTGGCACTGAATGTTTGTTCATAACTGGTTTCTCTTGGCAGTTTGCAGCTTCTCCCCACGGGATTCTGTTCGATGTTTAGGAGGTTATGGGGCAGGAGGGTAAATTCATTCACTCCTTGAAGGGCTTCACCTGCTGTTCATGCTTAGAGCTATTATAATGTCACAAAGCAGCATCCTCAGGCCATTTAGGAACAGTGAACACAGTGGCCCGGGGTTAATTTGTTTATTAATTTATTTTCAGCTCCAGATTCCTTTAGTCCCAAAAAATTCTTTCAGATCAGTGGGATGTCTAAAAAGAGTAGCAGCCAGCTCAAGGAGATCTTCCGGATTCTCGACAATGATCAAAGTGGCTTTATTGAGGAAGATGAGCTCAAGTAAGGATTTTATTAACTATTTAGATGTTCCCAAGCTATCAGCACTTTTTACTTTCCAGAACTGTTCTGCAAATGTGAACACAAGTTATGCCAAATGTTGATGAAACCTTCAGCAGATTGTGAAAGTTGTATTTAAATGGATAATCCCTACGGAGAAAAACAAATTAGTAATACCTGCCTTTGATGCTTAGTAGAGAAAAAAATAACTCCCTGAGGCTGGGTTTTGATAGCAGAATCAGTTGTATCAGGGTTGGACTTACAAAGCAGAAATATATACAACAAAGATTTAGCTTATCAAACAAAGCAGAGTTTGAAGGGCTTGGCTATTGTGGTAAATGGTGTAGAGATAACGATCAGTTTGATTATACAACAAGCACAGAAAAATAACATTGTGTGAAAATCTAAACCAAAGCTGTTCTCTTCCAAGGTATTTCCTTCAGAGGTTTGAGTGTGGAGCCAGGGTGTTAACCACCTCAGAAACCAAGACCTTCTTGGCAGCTGCAGATCACGACGGGGACGGGAAAATTGGGGCTGAAGGTACTGACTTGTTTAGATGCAGAACGAGGCTCCTCAGGGGTGTTGTCATGGTCTGTGATTCTCTTTTATGTTGATAGTACATTAATGCACCTCCAGTAATTTTACTGAAACCCTTGCAGCAGCAACCTTTTAAAGGTGGTCATGGTCCCTGGTCTTACAGGTTCATACCTGCAACTCCTTTGGCACAAACAAGTCAAAAACCCCCGAGGAACTTTCCTGTTGCTACTCACTCTCAAATTTCCAGTTGTTCTGAAGGGAGCTGCCCCTTATTTCTCCTCCCCCTGACTGATGTAAGGCAGCACCGGTATCACTTGTAGTACACAAATGTAATAGCAAGAACAAAGAACCAGCTGTCCACAGAAGAACCAACAGCAGCTCATTTACAGCAGCTATTTCCCCACAGAAATTCCCCCAGTCACTGGCTGACAATTTCAATGTGCAGGAGCCAGCAGCACAGTTCAATATCTGCTTTGCATAACAAGGAGAACAGAATGATCAGATCACTGCTCTAACACAAGATCCCCCAGCAGGATCTGTTGGATGCTGTTTATCCTCAGTGGCAGGGTAAGGACCCCACAGGAAGGAGCAGATTGCAGGTTCTAGGAAGCAGCAGATTGCACTCACCGCTGGAAATGCTGGTGGGATTTAATGGCTGCTCAGTGCAGAAACCTCCTGCTCTCCCAATTGCCCATCTCTGAGCCCTGTTTGAGCACGGAGCACACTCACACAAAGGGCTGGCACTGCCCTGGGAGAGCAGCGAGTGCCCAGGCCAGCGTGGAAGGGGCTTAGGGAAGAGCACGCAGGGAATGTGCTGGCATGCAGATTCCCCAGCTCCCTGCACCAGCAGGACACGGCTCTTCTGTTTCTTTCTTTGGAAGGAATTAAATCCAGTTCCTTGGGAACCATGCCAGAATAAACACACATGATTTATGGAGCGATCCATATACTAATATAGTCATTCAGGACAGCACTGATCAGACACTAATTCACCAAAGCCAAACATTTAAAAACCTTTCAATAACAGTGTTTTATTGCATCACACAATACTCCAGGATCATACCACATGCAACTGCACAATTTTTTGGCTTTAGACTCTGCTCTAAATCAACATTTCTCAACTACTGAAGCACTACAAACAGCTAATAAAACACATGGCCTCACATTTAATTTTTTTTTTTAGTTCAGCTCTTAACTACTTCTTACTCAAATTCTACATAATCCATTGCAGTATTTTTGCCTAGGATTAATACTATGCAGAGAGAAGGCTAAAACTACCCTGAATATTTTATTATTCCTTATAAATGTCAGCAAAACACTGCCTTTCCATCTGCTGTTTAGAAGAGGACCTTTAGGCAAAGCCTCTTTTCCATACATGTTTCTTCTCTGGTCATCTGTCAGGGAACTGTTTTCTGTTCATTCCTATTCTAAATCTCTTGATATGTTACTAATCTGTTACTCCTAATCCTTTCATGTCAGTATTTCTACAGTAAATAATCTCTTATCTTTCACAGAATTCCAGGAAATGGTACAGGCTTAGAGATTCAAAAGGACCAAACAAGATAAAATTGGGATGAATCTGCATGAGACACTCCAAACCCTTGAAAATCAGGAGCCCCTTATTTGTCTTGACAGTGTCTGTTATTTGTTCATTGCCTTAGTAATGAAACACTGATTACTGATTTTTTTTTCACTGTGTGGCCCACTCACTGTGTTCTAAACTCTACTTTAGCAGACACTTCCCTTAAAAATACCCAATAAAAATTAATCATATACTGTAGTTTGTGTCTGTTTTTCTGACTCCTAAACTGAAACATGTGAATTCTTAAACTAAAAGTGTTCATCCCTCCAAGATCTTGGTCTTATCAGACCTTCATGTATGGGATATCTTTTGGAATTAGTGGGAGTTCCTCCTGGATTAAGCCTAAATTCTCAGAGCTCAGATCTTCAAAGACTAGGAGGTCAGCTACAGTTGTGAGGTGGGTGAGGATAAAATGTCTCACTGACTTCCAAGTGAAGAGCAGTCAGACATTTCTGCTTAAGAAGCGGCTTCTCCATGAGACTGTTGCAGTTGCAAACCATCCTTTCGCATGAGCCAATTAATAGATGAGGAGAATAAAACCCACATGCTTTCCTGCAGGAAGAATTAAAAGGAAAGCCACGTGGACTTGAGGTTTCAGACAACTGTGAGGTTGTAAGAAGCAGAGGGGAAGCAAAAGATATCCTCTTGGTGGTATTTTCTGGTTTTCTCAGTAGAGAGGACTGTAACAAATGCATGTTGAGAAAGCTCCAAAGTCCATGCCTGGTATTTCTGGGCTGTGACTGACATATTAAAAACGTCCTTCACAAACACAACTGTCTCTGGGAATGCCAAAGAAATGTCTTTACATGAACAAACAGTTCAGTCATTAGAAAAGAGGGATGTCGGGATGCTCTGACGGAGCATTTATACATTCACTTGCTTTGCCAGCATTCCCAAGTGCTGTGCTGCAGGTCACACACACACACAGCTTGCAGAGCCACCAGAACACCAGCAGAGCCTTCTCAGCCCAGCGAAGAGTTCAGTCACTGCCCTTCCAATGCATTTCTTCTTTTGCTGCAAACGATTACATTCAAAATCAACTGCTTTTTTTTCCTTTTCAAAAGTCTCTACAAACACTGGTAACTGCACAGAAAAACACCAAAATCAGCACTGAATTGTTTATGAGATAACCAGCAATTCCTGGGGAAGAGACTAACAAATGTGAATGCACTTGTGAGAAGGACAGAGCATCCTTCAGACCCCTGAAGTCCCACAGTCCACAATTCTTAACAGCTGACAAATGAGAACAGATTTTTTTGTCCCATTTCAAAATGTTTTCAAGCAGCTTAATTTGCCACACAAGTTGTTTGTAAGCTGGTAGACTCGGTGCACGCAAGAATTTCATATGGCCCTCACATCTCTTCTCTTACAATGCAAAATTCATACAAACTCATAAAGAAATCAACACTGAATTCAAAGACTGTTTTTTTAATATTATGAAACAGGCTCACCTGGCATAAATTTCTAGAGTATCAGTGACTTAAATAGAGCTACTCAGATTTAGAAGCGGAGGGTCTGACCATGAGGAATTGACCCCCAGTGCATAGGGTGGATGTCACAGGATATTCACAAGAAATAAAGTGTGTCCTTGGCAGTGAAATCAGTCTGATGACAGAAGGGTCTTGGAGTAGTTCACATGTAAGTAACAAACAAACTGCTCTCCATTTCGCTGACAATTAAATGTCCTGACCTCGACTAACCACGTTGCATCAGGCAGGCAAATGCATGTGAAATAAAGAGTTTTCCAGGTGCTCTTACACCCTCAACTCTAATTCCTCTCAATGTCTCGGCCTTTGCACTATGAACCTCGACAAAGAAACCCAGAGGCAAGGAATAAGTTCTGTTTTTCTCCACCAAGATGTAACACTGAGCAGGTCACTGGCACAGGTGGACAGAGGATTCCTGCAGTGCCCTGGCCCTCACTGAAATTATGCACTAGACACGGCTACTATAAAAGCACATTTTTGGAGAA